AGATTTTCAAGCTCCAAGCGGTTCCTTCACAAGAAAACACACAAGTTAAAGAACCAAAATAATAAAATCCTATTTTAGCACCTTCCCTGGCAATGGCGCCAAAAACTTGATGCGGCATAATTATGTAATAAAATTGCAAGTGCACAATTGATCAAGTTATAGTATAAAAAGTTATCGATCCCACGAGGAAGGTGATTTTAAGAGATTATTAGAATTGGTTCTTATATTTTGTGCGTGACAAAAACAAGATTAAAGAATAAGTGTGATTGTGATGAGTGATTTTTGTGAATATATGCAAGTACAATAAATTGAATTTTAGAGAAAAGAAATAAGAATCAAAGAATAAATAAAATCACAAGGCAAGAAAGAAGAATGAAAGAAATAAAATCAAGAATGAAAAGAAAATTCAAGAAAGTCAAGATGGATGATTCAATTTAAGATATGAGAAATCTAGAATTTAATCCACTAGCTAACTCAAATATAAAATACAAACTATTCTGTTTTTTATCATATTTCAACTTAGATTTATTAAGCATAGACTATCAAACCATTTAAGAAAAGTATAACCTATCAAACTATCATCTAAGTTAAAATTACTATTCATAATAAGAATAATAACAAGATAGTAATCCTAGAATTCATAAGCATAACCTATCAAACCATTTAAGATAAGTATAGATTATCAAATTCTTCTTCTACCGATTAGTTCTCTAGTTGATTATCTTAAACATGAATATTTTAAGTGTAAGAGAATAATTTGCATAATATAAAGGAAATTAGACTAGCATCATACAATTCTAATATTCCTACAAGAATTAATTTCACATCTCAAGAAATAAAAACAAGAAGAAAAAAACTAATTACAAAAATAAAAAGAAAAAAATCTGACTATGAACAAGAAATAAATCTAACTACAAATAATTAAAATCTAAACTACAAAATAAATTACAAAAATTAAATGCAAGAAAATAAATCTACTCTACAAATTAAAGTGCAAAAAAAATAAAAAGATAAGAAAATAAATCTACACTACAAGCATGAATGTAAATCTAACTAATAAGCAATAATAAAGAAATTACTAAAAAGAAATAAAAGAGGAAAATAAAAGAAATGTAAACCTTCAAATTGCTTTTCATCTCCATCCTCATCATTCAACAAAGAGGAGAAAAGACAAATTTAAAGTGGAGAAAAATTATTATTATTAATTACAACAAAAGTTATAATTTTTGGAAGGCCTTCTTAATTAAGAGTAGTCCTCCTCTCCAAATGGAGTTATAAAATTTTTCACACCTCTAACCCCTCACGCTCTACCCCTATTTATAGTAAACATCAGTGAATGAGAGCCCTTGGATTCAAATCTTATCCAAAACCAACTTATAGTAAACATCAGTGAATGAGAGCCCTTGGATTCAAATCTTATCCAAAACCAACAAATTTCAGCCTTAGATCTGTAACAGAATGCCGATGGTATCGGATTCAAATCTTATCCAAAACCAACAAATTTCAGCCTTAGATCTGTAACAGAATGCCGATGGTATCGATGCCGGCATCGATAGGGGTATCGATGCTGGCATCGATGTCAATCTGTCTCTAGTTGTTGTCCGCAAATTCTTTCTTCCATTGTCTTGTGGGCTTGGTTTTTTGGCTTTTGCTTGGACTTTGGGCTTTGGGCTTTGACATTTTCTCTTGATTTTCCACTGGGCTTTGATTTATTTATTCATTAAATATTTGAAAGAATTCATTTGGCTTCATGAGCTTCATTTCTTTATTAAATCAAGGGCTTGTTGTTAAGAGATGACAGTTTTGAGATTTATTCTTCATTAACCTGCAATTAAAGAAAAAAAAACAATTATTAGTGGTATATTTATTCATATAAAATAGATAATGAGGGTATAAAATTGCAATAAAATATGATTATCAGGAGACCCTTTAGAGCAAGTATATGACCAAGAGTGTGAAAAATCGCTTGCATTTGAAGAGGAGGCTTTATCGCTTCCAATTGAAGAAGGTGACCTCCATTGGTGATCACATGAACCACTACACGAATCTTCTTGTGAATTTAGTGAATGTGGATGTTATGATAGAGGATGAGGATAAAATTTTGTTATTGTTGAGTTCCTTGCCAGATGAGGAATATGAGACATTTGTTCTTACCCTAATTAATGGGAAGACGTCCCTTTCGTATAGTGAGGTCACCGCTACACTTGTGAATTATCAGCTTTGAAAGAAAGATAATGAATCTACAAGTGATACAATAGCAGAGGCATTGATCGCAAGAGGAAAGAATCCAAACCGAAAGAATAGGAAGTCACAGTCTAGAGTAGGGCATCTTACAATTGGCAAAGATCAGTGTGCTTAGTATAAAGAGACTGGTCATTGGAAGAAAGATTGTCCAAAGCTCAGTGATTGGATGAAGAATAAGCAGAAGGGAAAAGGGAAGCAATCATCATTAGAAGTGAACATCATTATATCGGATGGTAATCTTTCTGAGTCATCTGTTTATTCGCTTTCTATTAGTCCCATAGGTTACTATTCAGAGGAATCAGAGTGGATGTTAGATAGTGGTATGACCTATCATGTGTGCCCTAGAAGGGAATGGTTCGTCAGTTTTGAGAAGCTGAAGAGTAGTCTGGTGTACATGGGTGACAACCGTGCATGTCAGATCCTTGGGATAGGAAGAATTTGCATCAAGATGTATGACAGGACAGTTAGAGAGTTACATGGTGTGAGATATGTTCTTTCTTTAAGGAAGAACTTGATCTCGATTGGAGCTTTGGTTGGAGAGGGTTTTAGAGTTTGTATCGAGGACATGATTCTCGAGATTGTGGAAGACTCTCATATTTTGATGAAAGGCGTTAGGAAGAATAACCTGTACTATTGATTAGGAATATGGTGACAGGTGGAGAGCTGACGATTTCTATTGATTCGACTAGACTGCGACATTTGAGGCTTGGTCATTCCAGTATTGATTTAGAAAAAGGTTCATCGTCCTGCAATTTGAAGTCCAGTGAATATTTTGATGTGAGCAAGAAGACCGAGGTGAATTTTGGCACCTCTATTCACAGCACTAAGGGTCTTTTCGATGGAGTTCACGTGGGCATTTGAAGGCCGTCCAAGGAGGCATTATTGGGAGGTAATAGAAGTTTGGTTTCCTTTGTTGGTGAATATTCTAGGCATGCTTGGGTTGCAACAAAATCTCGATTGGATAAAGTCCTAGTAGTCTCCAACAGATTGAAGAAGCGTGAGATTAGCAGAAAGGTGAAGTTACTTCATTTTGATTTTGGTGGGAGGTACAAGAGGGACCTGTTTCTGCATTTGAGTCGAGCTCACGGCATTTTGAGATACTTCGGTGGAAAGAAAATCTTGGGACAACGAGATGAGATGGTAGATTTGGTGAGATGTTCCTTGCTGGAGGAGGACCAATGTTTGATGTCGAGCATTGATTCTGGTGTTAAGCCTTCAACATATTTGGGTCATCTTGGTCATAAGTTGTTGACTGCTACGATTGGATGTAAAACTCCATTAGATGTTTGGACTGGTAGTGTCACTTCGGTTGAGGTTTCGATGAGGGGGCTAATTGACTCTCAACAGATGAAGAGTTTTGGACAGACCATAGATGTATCGCAACGGATGGAGGGTGATACTACTCCACATTAGGTGGAGATTACTCCATATACTCTAGATCATACTGCATCGTTTGGGATTCCAGCTGAGGTGACATAGTTAGGGGATCATTTGGATTTTGGTGCAGATGATGAGTTGGTTGATTCGAATGCAGGTGGTGGATATGATTTGAATACGGCCATTGGTTCACCTCAGGTGGAGGTGTTTGATTTGTTTCACTTTGGGGCCATTTGGAGAGCTATCAGCCGCATATTTATTGGTGAAGAGTTGAGAACTTTTCTATTTGATTGAGGGACTTTGGAGGTTATTTGGGAACTATGTGAAGGCTTGATTCCTTGGGCAAGAGGATACGTAGGCATTCATTTATCATGCAGCCGATTTGATGGGTAGATACCAACGTTTGGAGAGTGTTCACGTTCTCATTTGGGTCTCGACTTGTTGTGGATTGAGTCCGTTGTTGTGATTTCGTTTCACTTCGTACTGGACGTAAAAAGTGGGACATTTGGTTTGGTTGGTGTCGGCTCAGTTTTGGCAACACAGCTACGAAGTTCAGATTTTTTGAAGCAAGGAATATTTTGGATGCTGCACGGTCGACCGCGAGTGGCGCTACGGTCGACCGCGAACGTGCACAGCACAGGAAAAGTCTCTGGACTTTTCGCGGTGGACCGCAAGTGGCGCGGCGGTTGAACGATAAAACCTTGTAGTGTTTTTTGGTTTCGGTCGTTGGATCCGGTCGACCGCGAGTCAGGTCTGGGCCTGCTTCGGTTTCCTACACTGTTTCGGTTTCCTGTTTTATATAAATAGGAACATAATTTGTTTAGGATTTATTGGATCATATTGATCACTTTTGGGGTAGCTTGAAGGAGAGTTTTGAGCACAGAAAAGAGAGTTCTTTTCTGAGCAAATTGTTTGTGGGTTTTGTGAGAGATTTGACAGTTTTTTTGAGAGGTTAGTTTGATTGATCTTGTAATCTCTATTTTGTACTCTCTTTCTCTACAGTGAAAACCCCTCCCCTTCTTGTCCCGTGGACGTAGGCAATTTGCCGAACCACGTTAAACTTTGTGTTTGAGTTTGTGCCATAATTGTTTGATTTGAGTTGCCTTCTCTCTCGGTGCTTGGTTTGGTTTCTCGGTGACAACAAGTGGCTTCCGCGCACAACACGCAAGAAGAGTGATAATGTAAACACTATATTCTAATTTGAAATTATATGTTGAAAGTCTTATTATGTGATATTGAAATATTAGTGAATTACGTGAAAACTTTTACATATTTTCATGTTTAACTATTAAAATTTTTTGGCCAGGTCCGCCGTTATCTAAACATGCCCTCGGTTCATAGGCTCCAGATCTATCGATTGTCTACGATTAATACTAGTATATGCAAACATTTCACACTCAACGGCCGGCAGAAGCCAGACTCACATTATTCCGTAAGGACTACATTCCCTTCTCACCAACAAACCACTCCCCTCGACAACAAGCAACATACATTACAACCTCGACACAGCTCTTAAGCAAATACATCACTTATTCATCACAAACACTTCCCGTACGTAATTAGATAGAAATACTGTTAGGAATCCCCTTGCCGGTAATCCCACCCTCACTAGTCGGAAATAGCAAAGTATACGGCACATTCACCTGACCGTTCCTATTCCTCAAGCTCGGATCCTTATTCAACCTCTCAATCTTATTCGCAATCTCGCTAAGCCTTGCCCCGAACCTCTTGAACGCATCAATAGCCTTCTGATCGTTAGTCCACTCTGTCGAGTCCCTCGTCCCCAAATACACCTCATCAGAAGCATGAGTCGATAAAATCTCCATCAGTGATATGCCGATGATACTCTGAAGCTCAGTAGCAATCGTCTTGAGGAAAACCTTCTCCGGGTCTGTCTTCAGTTTATCATATTCAGTTGTGCCCTCAACGGGCATGAACCTGCGACTGATGGTAGGGCGATTTGGCACGTAGGCGGTGTAGGCGTACTGGCCAAAGTTGACTGCAGCGTGCAAAGCGGATGCGATCCAAATGATGATGGTACATGAGTGAGTTAAGTCGTCGAGGGTTTGCATTTTGGGCCACCAGGGTCGGTCTTTTAAGTCTCCGTGGCCAACTTCACGGACTTCTTTCCACCAAGCTTGGAGCTCTGCATCGGACTGGATTATATCGTCAGTTGGGTAGTAGATGGAGCAGTAGTCTTTCACCCATGACTCGATTGCCGACCAGATTTCAAGTCCGTCGGTTGCGTAGGGGTAGTCGTTGATTAGGAGTCGGAGTTTGTTTGGGCTTGACGGGTCCTCTACTGCAACTCCTCTGAGATAGGAAAATTACATACATTCGTAATTAGGCTAGAGGGTGTTTGGGAATGCTTTCTTTTTTCAAGTTTTTAAAGTTATGCTAGCTTTTAGTGGATTTTGGCTTTTTTGATAACAATGCTATAAAAACTATTCGAGTAGAATAGTAATTTATTTAGCCAAACCTAGCTTTTTTAAAATGAGCTTATAAGTTAGTTTTTTAAAAGCTGCGGTATACCAGCTTTTTTAAGATAGGACTTATAAGCTAACTTATTAGGCATTTTACCAAACAGATAAATGAAAAAGTTTAACTTAAAAGCTAGTTTGACTAAAAAGCAAGCCTCTCCAAACACCCTCTAAATCAGTGCATCATTTGATTATGTCATTGCAACACATAAACACTAACCTAAACAGTCAAAATATAAATGCAAGCAAACTATTGTATCAATGTAATCATCAACTTTAAAAATCTTGCATTGTGCTTACTCTCTATGAATCTTCTGCAGAGAATTCTATAAGATTTTCCCCCTAAATCTTTATGCAGTTTAAAGTGCGGGAAAAAAAAACTATGTAGGACATTCTATAGAAAATCATTTAGGTAAATATGGGATCACACAATGCATGTCCTGTTACTTTTTTCTAAATCAATGTGAACAATATACAACAGCAGTAGAAATATATAACAAAAATTGTACGATCATCAATTTTCAAAATAAATGTCTGAATTCGTGTGATTTTTTTTATTCCTCTCCGTATGGTGAGTGCAAATTCAATGAACAGCTTATATGCAAGCAGGTCGTTTTGATGAATAAAGAGGTAGGAAGTTAGTAGTTTAGTCATTGCTTTATCTAGTACGTATGGATCAGAATGACCCACTTACATGTAGACTGTTCTAATACGATTTGTTTCCTATATTATAGTCTATAAAGGGACCTCATTTTTTTTCCCTATGTTAGAGTGTAAAAATATAACTCTCAATACTAAGTTTTCTTGCAGAGGTAGAGACTCTTAAGAGTATGTAAAAATAAATTAAAACGTGCATATACCTCTTGAGGAGATCAGTAGGGAGAGCTTGGTCAAGGAAATTCCAATCCTTGTAGATCACGGCAGACATTTCCATAGCAAATTTGTCTGGAAACACAATCGATTCCAGGATACCGCCAGCATTGATTAGGGCTTGGCGAGCAAAGGCATTGATGTTCATTGTGTCACGGTAGTGAGGGACCAAAAGCTTGTTGATGGGGTGAAGCACACTCAGGTGTCGGTTTGTTGCGAGGATGAATGGCTCAGTCACTGCATGTGTTCTAAGCCTGCGAGGGATTGAATCAATCTGACGAAGTTAGATCATATCAACCAGACATTTTGAGGGTTATATCTAAAGCTCCAAAAGTCACTAGATTTTGTGGGAGTTTCAAACTTTTTTGGGGATTACCCCGAAGCTTATACTACATTTAGAAATAGGGTTATTCATACCAGTGGCTGATGAGTTGATGAACACCGTAGTCATTAACCCCAACGTAGGCCTTCGCTAACTCCCAAATTGCACCCTCAACCCCAGACAACTCCGATGGCGTAAACACTTGGTTAACTGCACCCTTTTGCTCTCCATCAGGGTGTGGCAAGCTGAGCTCAATTGCTAATGGCTTCAGAGTTCCATCATCTTTCAAGAATAGAATTGTTCTTGTTGCATAGACTTTGTTAGAAGTTGTGTTGATTCTGTTTATGTACGGAATCAATGCGTCATGATGATCCAAGATGTAGAGCCTATCATCACTCATTGCCTATTACCAAATTATTATTAACGACGATTGATTAGTCCATATAAATTGGGATTAAAAATGATCCATTTGTTTGGTTATTTGAGCATATGAAGTATATAAAGTATGTGAGTCTACCTGTTGCACAGATAGGCCACCTAGGTTCTTTTCAACATCTGCTGCTGTTATCGAGCTGATTTGATTACCGTATTTGCTAGGATCAAGTCCGCTTGTTGGAGGAAATTCCTGCAATATTAAAATTCATTACTTAATATATTGATTTAAATAGGAATTTTCATAAGAAATTCTTGGACATATTTGGCATAGGTGCATGGATAGAAATTAAGGAAAAGAGTTAAATAAGCTGATCTGTCCAAAGGTATATAACTTTTAAATTTGATTGATTAAGATAGATTAACTCACTTTACTGCATGTCAAGAACTTTGTGTATGACAAGTTCAGAAAGGATGAGCTCTATCTCTAACCTTTCACCTATAGTATCTTGTTAAACTTATGAGAAATATAAAAACAAAGCCTTCTCTCATTCTTTCATCTAAACAAGGTTAATTAATGGTAACAATCTATGCTGGTTAGATTTACCTGTAGTCTACAGATGATATGAGGGTTGACACCAGCAAGCATTTCTCGTGCAAATTCTTCATCAGTCCTCCAAGCGTATTTATCATCTACAATTTGAAATAAAGAAAAAGATAAAAAAAGTTTTAATAATGATTAAAAAATGTATACATTATCGTATACAAAATGTCGAGAAGCAAGTACCTTGGATCAGTTGTGGTATGGGGTACTTCATAAAGCTCTGCCCATTCTGAGTGCTGACAACTGCCTTAATCATCTCAAAAGGGATGTTATCTTTGATCGTGTCAATAAGAGGAACACTAGGGATTGGCAAGCCACCCCTAAAGAGTCTGTGCACCTCTTCGAACGAGTCGAACTCATTGGGCGTCCCATTGAATATGGACTTCACTACCGGGATGAAGGAATTGGCTAGTGATTTGATGGAATATCCGAGAAAATCTGACATCTTCAGGTGGCCGAACCTCTCATCTCTTGGCACATAGATGTCGAGACTACAATAAAAAGTAATTTCGTTGAGATACAGTCTTAACAGAGTTTAGTTAGGCTACTATCAACAGTATCGAAGAATCAAATTCAAAACTTCAAAATTTCAAGTTAATTGCAACGCCGAAATTTAATCATTAATTAATGAAATTGTGAAGTTGACATTTGAAAATGGAAAATCACGATTGAAATAATTCAAGTTCTTGCTTCAAATGATCAAATATACAGCGGGTTGCATCAAGTTAAAATGATTTGCAACTTAAAGAGTCAAAATTTAAATCTGAATCAAAAGTTGTGGCATATAGGATACTATTGATTGCGACCTACCTCAACTAGATTAGCATGCATTTAACGAGCAAACAAAATAATTATCAAGGAATGGTGGAAATAAATTATCACTTTCTCTAGCACAATGAGCTGAAGGAAGAGCACTGATGACGAGGTCTATCTGTTACGATATGACTTAAAGAATGGACTTCATTAGTAGTCTACTATTTGATAGCTTATTTAAAAAATTAGTTATCACATCATGCTCATTATTTTCTTCCTGATTAATGTCTAAATCAAATCTAACCTGTTCTGGTGGGAGGACGTCCAGTCTTTCCCCTACGCGGATAGGGGTATTCTTCTGAGCCTCCAAGGACAGGCCTGACAATGCCGAAGTCAGGATTAGCAAGATCATTATAGTATGCATAGTTGTAGACTCGATCCCACTCTTGCAATTCTCGGTTGACATCATCACCCCTCAGATGACGGAGCTCCTCGTCTCTATATGGCTTCAACGGTGCTGGTGTTTTGTTAGGGAGGTACACCTGTAATAATATTTTGTCAATTGTCAAGTTAAGTTTTACATACGATCATTTCATTATTTTTGTAGGGAATGTTTTTTGTTTTTTGTTTCGCTATGGGCCTCATACATATTGAAAGCTTGATCCTCCCCCCTCCTAATCCCACCCTCCTTCCCCCTCATGATATACTAAGCAATAGGTTTTTTAATAGGGATTTTGCGTATAAACCCACAACTTTACTTTCATTTACCGAAAGGCCACCTAGTTCTTTATGTTCCCATGAACCCAATATATAAAGTTTGTTTACCTTTGAACCCAGAAATATAGAGTACATATTGTAGGCTATCTAAAAATTATTGCAGACAGTTGATCCCCATCAAACAGCGATAATGGAAGTTACAATTTAACGGCTTTTAGAAGGTTACAATTTAAAAACTTTCACGTAGATCGATGAATGTCATAATCTGACGACCTTCACAACAACGGATGAAAGCTTTAATTCAACAACATTCAGAATCAACATTGGGAGTTACAATCTGATGATTCTCATATTTTCAAGGAGCCAAGACGAAGATTACAGGATGACGATCTTTGTAACGATCTAGCAAAAGATACTACAAATTAACGATTTCTTCAAATTAAAACGTAGATATCTCTCAAACCGTAAAGAATTTGGCGAAATGGACGGAGCAAACCATACCCTGTGGGTTGGTTTGGTCGGCTCCGTCTCGTCGAGATAGTCAATTTTCATATATAATTCGTCCAATTCTGACTTACGGTTTAAAAGTTATGACATGTTCTTCGCAGCAAGTTATGTTCTGAAGTCCGTATGCAAGAGTGGACTTCGCCTGAACATTGGACTTCACCTGAAGCTCGCCAAGCTTACATGAGGCTCGCCTCTACGTTCTAGAGTCAAAACGACACAACCACTACATAATCTAGCTGCAAACACAGCTCAAATCCAATCGCAAACACAGCTCAAATCCAACCGCAAACACAGCTCAAACCTAACCACAAACACAGCTTAAATCTAGCTGCCAACGTAGCTTCCAAATGCCGCCAACGCAGCTTCTAGACGTTGCGTTCGAACGCAGAATTTGTGCCTAGCAACGCAGGACCTGCGTTTAACTCATTCAAATATGAGTTGAACGGTTTCGAAACCATCTTCTCTCCACGATTTGAAGAATTTCTCCCCACTTAGAAGCGGATTCAAGGGGTAGTTACACCCATTAATCTCCTATAAATAGCTGAAATTTCAGCTTAATTAGGGCCGGTCCTTTGGAGGGGAATTTCTGGAGAATTAAGATCGGCACAATATTTCTTGACAGAAGAAGGATCTCGGCAATCTTCAGACCCTCAGAGTTGTTCTTGGAGCTTTCATCAATCTTGACTTACAAACCGATTTCGGTTAAATCAATTAGCTCTTTCAAAGAGTTCTTTCAAAACTCGTTCTGAGTTCTCAAACTCATTAAGAGATTCAAATTTATCACACAAGTTCTCTACGACATCAAATCCAAAAAGATTCAACTGTGTTCCACTATGTAAAATGTTAGATCATCAACGAGAAGCAAACTCGACACGATTTTCGAGGGAAGCATCTCATCGATACAATGTTAAGTTAGACGGGATATACCCCTCAAAACTATCATCATCTTACTAGTGCGGCCAATCAGAATCAAATAATAAGATGTCGAGGACATAATACTAGTTTCTATGATATCAGGAGCGAAGTCACAAGAGCATCTCTAAGGGGCCGAAAAAATCCGACCCCTTAGCTTAATTAAGGGACTTCGGAGGGAAAGCTGCTCTAACGAGCTGGAAAAAACGCCCTTTCACCCAAAACCCCTCAACTCTACCCAAATTAAGGAGCCCCTAATATTGTATATTAATAGTTTTGTTAAATAAAATTAATATTAAAATAATATGAATTTAAATTTAAAATAATATTTAACTTTTAACATGATTTATATAAATTAATTACTTATTAAATTTTAATATGATTAATTAATTTAATAATTATATAAAGGTAATTTCTTAATTTAAATTAATTACTTAATTATTTTTAGTTATTAATATTTAATTATTTATTCATTTATAATAAACCATATATTTAATTAAATTCTAATTTATAATCTTAAAATACTAAATATAAATAATTAAAAGGTAGGGGAATCTTTAAGTGCAAACAATTGAAGGAGAACTTCCCCCTCTCTTATAAGTCCCCCTAGATTAAGGGAGATTGGAAGGATCCCTTGAAGATAGCTCTATTGTTGAAGATTTGGTGAGGTACCAGTATCTAGGATTCTTGTCGAGTTTAGCAGGATTTAAATTGCAAAGGTCATTAATGTAATCAGTCAATTCATGAAAGCCACCTTATAGAAGTTTGAACTTCTCCTTTAATTTATATTGTAATCAGTCAATTCATGATGCGACTAGCTCCTTTTGTTTATCCTTTAGATAATGTGATGTTATACCTATTCTTACTTATTAAATATAGATAGATGTCGTTTCAAAGCATAGACCATCTTATAGACTTTAGCTACCATCTAAATCGTTATCCACTTTATTTATGACAGCACATAGCGACTGTAATATATATAAAAATCCTTCATTATCACTAAAAACAACATATCACTATCACCTACGTAATAGAAACAACAAAAAAGACTTCCATCGAGTGTTATCTGATTTATAACCTTTTAAACTTGTTTATCTCTTCATCAAAGCCTAAAGGGGCTAATTGCGCGTAGGTCCCCAGTAGCATGGGTATTTCGAACTAACCATCTCAAATAGTTTAATCGTGACGCATAGACCGTCAGCTTAATTTTTTTGTGACTTTTTTTTACCCTAAGATTGACTCAATAGTTTCACTCCAGAGGCAATATTAGCGTAAATTTCACAAACGGTAGAAGAGTTAAAAAAAAAAATTGAAGTACTGGAGCATTTGCAACGATAAAACTTATAGGAGTAGTAAGCTAAGGAACAACAATACTCCAGGAGGTCTATCTGCAATCAACCCAAAACTTAAAATTAATTAAGAGATTTATATACTTACATCATTAGCAAAGAAGATTCGGTCATAAGTATACTTAGTGGTGTTGTAGACCCAAGAATTGCAGACGAAGTGGATGCGGCCTCTCCCGGGGAAATCTTCAAGCGTGATGCTCTTAAGATAGAACTGGTCGAGGTGATGGTTCTTGACAATGATGGCGCCTGGAATTCCTTGGCTTTCGTTGTGCTTGAATTTGATATCAAATGCAGATTCACCAGCAACAATTGAAGGCAGGTTCAGGATGCTTTGCTCCAAATAAGCTGGCTCCCCTACTACTCCTCTGTTGCCATTATCTACCACAAACAAGTAAAATTTTATTTACCGCCTCTTCTATTCTTGAATTTAAAAAATTAACTTCCAAAAATTCAACAACATTGTGCATGTGATGATTTAAAAAATTTCTCTTTATCATTTTGATAGATCTTAAATCCGCTTGGCTTTTTGGGAACTTCATCCAAATTTTAGCTATAGTAAGTTTCATATCAAAAATGAAAAAGAATCAATGGATTAGAGAACTCACTAGGATCACCAACATTAGAACTAACAAGCTGAAACGAGACAGATTGGCCTAAAAACTCAGCAACTTCATCAAGAATGGTGCCAGCAAAGTTAGTTAAGTCGAGCACATTTTTTTTCATCAACACCACCTTCCCCTTAACCTTTACATCCTTCCCTCCAATCAATCCCCCAACAATCCCTCCAACGGTCCCAATGATCATTTTTGCTAGCTCTCTCTCCCTAATAGCCAATGAAATGGAAGTGAAGAAGATGAGCGAGTTTGCTCTGAGATTGGGGGTTATTTATAGTACTTCTTGGTGCATAGTTTAATAATAAAGGACGGCTCAGTACGTCTTGAATGTGCACGCGAAACATGAGCATGAATTATTTAGAGACAGGATAACATTTATTAGGGTAGGTGATCTTGTTGCAGCAATTTTCATCAAGATGAAGTGTAGTGGATCAATTATTTGACTTGGGTAGTAGGCGCCGTATACATATCTTTCATAATTATTGGACTTGGGTAGTAGGCGCCGTATACATATCTTTCATCATTATGATTTTCTGTGTACTAGATAGAAAAATTTAATATATAACAGGATAATGCAGGATCAGAAAGCAAGGTTACAGTTAAGCACGTGATGGGGAAAAAAAAAAAGGAAAATAAAAGGATTGCTGGCAAGTCCCTAGTGAAGATGTTGAAGATTTTGTTTGATAAGGATCATGATTCATGACTTTAAAACTTTTTAATGAGGACACTAACATCGAAGGCCCACATCTTCACCATATCACAATATTCCAAATTAAATGCGGTGCGGATGAAGGTTTGAAAACAATATAGACTAGTTACCGCCGAGAGGTGAGGTCAAATGGTTAAGAGGATCAATATGTTCTCCCAGTAACTGGGTTTGAATTTCTTTTTTGCATTCAACATATTAACTCAAGCTAATAGAGATCTTCTACATCCTAAATTATAGAGATCCTCTGCATCCTAACGTGTGGTTGGGCTCGAACTCAGTAGCTTGAGAAGAGATCCTATACATATTAAATTATAGAGAATTTCTATAATTATATAGGTGGATGAATAAGTTTGGCTAATGCAATAGGCTCTACGAATAGATATTTGTTATCTATGTCATCTCTCTCAAAACCATCATCAAATTTCAATCTTCAGAAATTTGATCGAGGACGACTCACCCTTGGACCCTCACTAGTTTTGTCGGGACTCAAGCAGTAGCTTCTCAAATAAAAACTAACAAAGACAGCTCAATATATCAAACATTCAACATATATAATTCTCAAACTTTCTTAGTTTTCATTTTAATTTTTTTCAAATAAACCATTGAGGTCGTAGTTAAGATCAACGTCGAACATGTAATGGTGTTCTAGCTGGTGCTATTCATCATTTTTGATACGAAATTGAAACTAAAAAAATAAAAAATAAAAAATAAAATAAAACGAGCAAGAAAATGGGGAACTGCAACTAGTACTTTGCAAAAAAAATGTTAAGATAGTTGTTATAGATGAAGGATGAGGAGGTGTAAATAAATACATGCGGGATTTACTGTGAATTAATGGGCTTAGTAATTAGCATCAAAATCATTTTAGGAGTGCCAGGTGAAGAAGAAGAAGAAAGACAAATAATTAGATACAATTATTTATGAAAATGTCATTTGGAAAAGTTAGGAAAAATTGTGTCAAGGCCTTAATTTCTAGAACCTCATGTGACCAACCCTTCAAGCTTTTTCTCAAGTGGTTCATGTTTGGGTAGAAAGTAGATGTTTTCATTGCATTGAATCTATTACAACTTTGGTCGTTACAATAAACTCAAATAAACGAGAAAATAGATCTTTTTATAAGATCGACTTATACAATAAAAATATAAAATAGTACAACTCTTGTCAAATAGCGCAACAGACTTTTATCACTCGCTGCTTGCGTGAGAACTTCGCCTATGCCGGGGACGTTAATATCTGTGGATCACCACGGATCAGATCCGGTTAAAATATTAAGTTAATCAAAGTTCTTACTTCACGAAGGAAGTAATCGCTGCAGCGGTAATCCCGACCAAGCGAGATTACTGCTCTTCTCGAGATTAAGACTAAGCTTAAATCCGGAGGAATAGGGGACGAGTCTCAGATCTCTCGAACTCCACTCTTTATGCACAAGAATTCGCTAAGATTTGCTAACCCTCGTTGTAAATTCATGGCTCCACTCTCCAATTCGGTAGCGTTCCGCCCTCTTGATCTCCGCCCCGTGAAATGAACCCCTAGGCCTGTATTTATAGGCTTCGATTGGGGGTATTTGTTAGACCCTAGAGGGGGGGTGATTAGGGTTGTTGGACCCTAGAGGGGGGTGATTAGGGTCTTATGCTAATCTAATCCGATTTTATGCCAATTAAAACTAATTAACAAATTATTCTTGCAAGAGAGATATACAATATGTTACAAGCAAGAATAAGCAATATGAACAAAGGTAAATATCCTACAAGCAAGAATAAGCAATATGAACAAAGGTAAATATCCTAGCAATGAGATATACTATGGGATATATGTAAGGATATATAATCACAAGGGTAAACAATCTAAACTAGATAGTGGACAATATAATCAACAAGCAATATACAAAAGCGATGAACATAAAAGTAAGTGCGCCAATGCAATCACAAACAAACGATATGATTATGGAGTTCGGTCCCCACGATCTACGTCTCCGTTCCTCACCTCGAGGAAATCTTCACTATCACAACCGGGTTTTCTATGTTTACCCGAATAACGTTTACACCACACAATACGGTTTTCTAGTTTACCGAAAACTCTACAACTAACACACTCTTGTAATCCCACTCTACACCCACTCAAGTGTTGAACTAGACGTGTCTCCCTCAAGTGCTCGGATACAACCTCTCACTAGGTTCGTCAACCGACGCCACTCCTCTTAGGATGATCCCTGACTCTCCCTACACACTTCTCTTGGTGTATAAGTGTATTACAAAATGAATCTCATAATAAGCACAATACAAGGTGTTTGTTCTCTACAATGAATGAGAACGAATTATAAGCTCACTCTCTAAGTTACACAATCCCACAACCCAATTATACTATGAATGTAAATACAATAAGCTCAATGGTTGTGTGAGTGTGTAAACAAAGAGAAAATAAAATCAACTAAACTCAATATGAACACTAGCTTAATAAAATGATAATCAAACAATATAAAATATAAAGCTTTGAGTTTAGAAAACTTCTCAATAGATCAAGAGTGGAAGGAGAAGAGTTGGATGCTCAAACACCAATAGATGATCTCCTCTTTAAACTTGTTTTAAAAACACTCTCTTGTTGTTGCTGGTAGAAGAGGGTTTGAGAGGTTTATATAGGAAGAGAAAACAACAGCAAAAACCCCAAACAAATCAGCAGAGAATCCCACGGAATTGAAATTTGATTCTGTACCCAATATAACCGTTGGGCAATCGGTGGTCGACCGTGAGATTTTCGCGGTCAACCGCGAGGGATTTTCGAAGCTGAGAAACCAACAGAAAAGGCTATGGTCGACCGTGGAAACTTACAGACTGACGATCGATCGCCACAGTCGACCGCGAAAGTTTCTGTTGGTTTCTGAGGAATAAACATTGGCGTGGTCGACCGTGGCGGTCGACCGCGAACTGATACATGAAAATACAGGTTTTGAAAGTTGGGTCGACCGTGGCGGTCGACCGCGAACTGATACATGAAAATACAGGTTTTGAAAGTTGTTTTCTGATTTCAAAACCCTGTTTAAAAATATTAAATAAATTCCAAAAATTATGAAACATTGGGAAATGATTATAGACATGATAATAAACATGCTATAAAAATTAGTTTTTAAAAAGGACATCCGAAATGAGAAATATTATCATATTGCAAAATAGTCCAAAACATGAAAATATGAACACATGAATTTTGACATTTTGGCTAAACCATGTTTTGAAACTTTACAAAATGATTTTGTGGACTTAATGAATGATTGTTAAGTCCATAAACCATGAAAATAATATTTTCTCAAAATTGCATATTCTATGCAATATATTCTCAAACAAAATAGAGTATGAAACATATGATTATATATATGAATGTAAATTTGTTTCATATCTATATAGCTAAACCAAAACAGAATAATAAATATGAAATATGTAATCTCATATTTATAAACATGAAAACTCAAAACTATGTATGTATATATATATAACTTGTGTTGTATATATATATATATATATATAAGGAAACCAATATAATGTGTGTGTATATATTATTGAGCTTAAAGTACTAACACACATAATATAAACCTAAACTAATGTTACCCAAGCTTGATCTTGATCTTCATTGTATCTCAACTTGGTAAACTTGGATGAAGCTTGAACTTGGATCTTCAACTTTGAATAGCAAGGCTTCATACCACAATTCCGCCAACCTCCATTGGATATGATTGTGAATGCGTAATTCCATCCATCCTCCAACACGTTGTTTGTCTATAATAAATAGAAATATACAAACACTAGTGAATGCGTAATTCCATCCATCCTCCAACACGTTGTTTGTCTATAATAAATAGAAATATACAAACACTAGACAAACAACATTAGTGGTAAATTAATAAATAGAAATATACAAACACTAGACAAACAACATTAGTGGTAAATTATTTGTTAAACATCATTAAAACAAAGAGGCTAACAATCTTCCCCTTTTTGATGATGACAAACAATTTACAAAAAAAAAAGATATATATGCATGAAGGAAAATGAATGTACAAATGTACAATATTATAATTATCATGCATAACAAGGAAAGAGTATATTCACAATATTTCTCCCCCTTTGACAACATCAAAAAGGAGAAAATCATATAGATGAAAGAGAGCGAAAGCTCCCCCTACCTATAAGCATGGGTGAGTATAACACATAAAAAGATATAGGGATTGCTCCCCTATCAAAATGCCTCATGAATGTATGAAATGAATGCTAAGGCATACATATGCGAGAAAGCATAGATTAAAAACATGCTAAACATAACTCACATACAAAAAAGATAATGAGAACACATATAAATATGAAAGAAGTGTCTCATTACACAATTTTAAAACATAGTGTATAAAAATAGATTTATGAAATCAAAAGATAGAACATGAGAATCATGCAAAAAATTTTCAAATGAAAACAAATTAATTAATGAAATCATAAATCAAGATTTAAGTCCAAAAACAATGTTTGATCAAAAAAGGAATTTTTCTTTGTAAAA